CTTGCAAGGCCGCCGCGGGGCCGCCGTCTCTCTCTCGGGGTGCCGTCGGCCCCTCTTGGGGCGAGCGGGGGCGTGCTCCTCCTCCTCCTCCTCCTCCTCCTCCTCCTCCTCCTCCTCTCCTCCTCCTCCTCCTCCTCCTCCTCCTCCTCCTCCTCTCCTCCTCCTCCTCCTCCTCCTCCTCTCCTCCTCCTCCTCCTCCTCCTCCTCCTCCTCCTCCTCCTCCTCCTCCTCCTTCCCCTCCTCCTCCTCCTCCTCCTCTCCTCTCTTCCTCCTCCTCCTCCTCCTCCTCCTCCTCCTCCTCCTCCTCCTCCTCCTCCTCCTCCTCCTCCTCCTCCTCCTCCCGGGGGGTGGGGGTGACGACCAGGGGGGGGGAATATCGTGGCGGGGGCCATGATGTCTCCCCAGATTTCATGGCGCCTCGTCCTATTTCACTGCGTTCCCTGGCCCGCCCCCCTGGTCCGCGCACATGCCTCGGGCCATGATTTGCACCCCCCCTCCTCTCGGACGCCCCCCTCCTTGGACACTCCCGAGGCGATCTCGCTGGTCTCTCTGGTCGCTCTGGGCGTTCTGAATTCGGAGAAGGCGAGCTTGTGCGAAGCGTCGGGCATCGCATGCCCCTTGAGCATGCTTGCCTCCTGGGGCCCTCCTTCTCTGGGGCCCTGCTCGGTCTTGTCCCCTGCTCATTGCCGATCTGCTTGGTCGGCCCTGTCCACGCCGCCGTTTGCTTCTCTCTGTGTTCACACGGTTCCGGGCTGCTGGCCCCGACTGCCATTCATGTAATTTTCACTTGTATCCAAATGTCCCCGCTTGCCTCCGCATATTTTTTCGGCTTTCATGTTCTTTCACACGGGCTTCCACATTTGCCGCCACGTGCCTTCGCTTGTTTCCATCACTTGCTTTCGGATATTAGGATACGCATACACCTCGACATGATTCGGCTTTACTCCGTTCGGTTCAGTTTCATTTCTTGTGCTTCCATGTTATTCGATTGCTTTTGGTCCATGTGTTGTGGTCATATCTGAATGCCAGTAACGGTGTGAAGGTCTGCGGACTGTGTTGTCAGAGCCGCGTGCTCGGGTGCTACGTGAAGCCTCGGTCATGACAGCGAGCAGAGCTTGTGGGGAGGAGTGGTGGCAGACCTCGGGACACGATCCGTTGCGGCGGTGGTCGGTGGCAGATGCTTTAAACAAGTGCTCTCAGGAACCGACGCCGAGGGAAGGCGTGTGTGAAGTCCAGGGCTTAGAACAAGGGTTGGCGAGCAATGAACTCTTGTATCAGCATTCGCGTGCATTTTGTTTCTGTTGTTCGACATCCAGCTTTTCCTGACAAGTTCACATGTACATGGTGCGATTGTATGATCGGCTACGTGCATGTACCCGCGGACATATCTGGTGCCCGCCCTGCGATGGCGCTCTTCGGTGCTTCACGACGGGGGATCACAGGGGGAGCACATCTTACTAGCATGTGTAGATCTAAGTTTATGTAAAGTTCGAGGTGGGGGAGAATCCTTCGCCCACCCAGCAAGTCCGCACTGCGCTCGACGGCATGCCCACGATACTGGGGCGACGCTCCGCACTGCTCGCTTCCACGGTCTGGCCCGCTTGAGCCGCACAGGAGGTGCGGACTGTGCTCCGACTCGCACTGCTTTTCGGAGCTGCGTGCCCTTTGCCCTCCTCCTGCGCCCCGAGGAGGGCGATCCGCACCCGATGAGTCGAACGTTCGGCGCCTCTTGGCCAGGAGCGCCCCGCCCGGCTCCCCCAGGAAAGTTTACGACAAAACCAGCGCTCCCGCCCGAGAGATCCTCCCGTTTTACGCTGGATACTCTCTTTTGATTTGGCGCCGCTCCCAGAAAGAACAACGCTCCCGCTCGAGGCCTCCTCCCTTTTTCCTCAGGACGGTGCTGTTCCTCGCCGCCGACAGCCCCCGTCCCGACAAAACCACGGCTCCCGCTGGAGACTTCCTCCCGTCTTACCCAAGGCGGTGTTCCTCCTCGTCGCCGACAACCGCCGTCCCAACAAAACCAGCGTTCCCGCTCGAGACTTCGTTTTGTTTTACGCTGGACTAGCGCCCTACTCTCTTCAGCATTGACGCCGCTCCCAGCAACAAGAGCGGCCCTGCTCGAGACTTCCTCCAATTCTATTCAGGGCCAGGTCCTTGCCTCGCCGCCGACAGCCCCCATCCCCACCAAGGCAATCCTGTCGCTCGATACTTCCTTGTGCTTTACCCTTGGCTGGGGCTCCACTGGCGGTCTCGCATCGACGCACCAAGGCGCGGGCATGCGTTTTCGAGGCAGGATATCTTGAAATTCCTCGGAGGAGGTGTTCGCAAGACCTCATTGGGCAGGAGAGCTGGGAATGGGAACAACAGACCCCGCTATAGAACCAGACTCCCACATGAGGGGGATGGTTATCATGATGGTCGCAGGCTTCGTGTGGAAACATCGCGCAGGAGGGTCAATTGTTTGTTGTTGTTGTTGCTGCTTTGCTGCTGTTGTTGTTGGTTGCTGTTGTTGCTGGTTGCTGCTGTTGCTGGTTGCTGTTATTGTTGCTGTTCTTGTTCTTGTTGTTGTTGTTGTTGCTGCTGCTGTTGCTGTTGCTGTTGCTGTTGCTGCTGCTGTTGCTGCTGCTGCTGTTGTTGTTGCTGCTGCTGCCGTTGCTGCTGCTGTTGCTGTTGTTGTTGTTGCTGTTGCTGTTGTTGTTGTTGTTGTTGTTGTTGTTGTTGTTGTTGTTGTTGCTGTTGTTGTTGTTGTTGAACATTATTAATTCTAAAGAATAATTATTGTTGGGGCCCCTGGTGCACGGCCCCCCTGCGCCGCCTAGGCCGCAGCTACATTTTCATCATTTTCGTGAGGAAGCCTCAGGTAATTCGATGTGATCAAGATCCGGTTGTTTTGTTCCCCCCCGCTTTCCCTTGCAAAAAACACTATAAAATGACATTTCTTGTTCTAATATAATCAAATTTCAAGAATCCCTTGCAAAAAATAAGGTAAAGTGGACATTCGCGCGCGCAAGACGAAATCCTTCCAAAAGCTTAGTGTTCGGAGCGATTTTAACATAAAAACATCAAAAAACCAATGGTTTTTCAACAAAAAAATGTCAAAATCTCATCCCGCGCGCTCTTGCGGATTCGTAGGAAACCCAACACTTTTTAAACATTTCTGTCAAACGGGCTTTTGCGAGCAACTTTTTCGAACTTCTGCGACAACGGTTGCGCACCTGCCAGGGCCATCATCCCTGTCAAATAATACCATGCGGGACACATTCGTTTTTTCTTCGCGCGCGCACGCCGATACGCAACAGATGTTCTGTGGAAGGCTTAACAACTTCTGTGGGTTAACAAGGCTTAACAACTTCTGTGGGTGTACGAACGTAGGCTTAACAACTTCTGTGGGTGTGTACTCCACGCCAGTGTAGTAGCCACGGTCGTCCGCAGGCCACGAAGTGAAGTGTCCGAACGTCATAGGGCGGGAAGCTGGGTGTGGGTGGTGGCGAAGAGTCGTGTGGATATTTGGTAGAGCTTGCACTGCCCCCCCACAAAGTGGGGGTATTGGCTGGCGTCGCATGAAAACCCTGGCACTGGTGAGAACACTGAGCGTTCGGGTAAAGTGATTGTTGTTGTTGTTGTTGTTGTTGTTGTTGTTGTTGTTTTCTGCCTCCGGGGGCCCTTGCTTGGTCCTGGGGTCGGCGACGAGAGCCAGCCCCTGGGGAAAGGGGTTCGACGTGGTGCACCAGGCCACGACGTCGGGGGCCCTTTGGGAGGCCGGCCCACCCATCCCCCGGGAGGTCCTCTCGCCGCTCCCGGGGCCCGCCTCCTGCAGAGGGTGTCCCTTCCCGTCCCCCGCCTGTCCCGGGCCCGCTCGTCGGCGCTGGCCAGACCCCCTCGAGGCATCCACAAGACCACGGCGGGAGGTTTTTGTTCGCTGCTCTCGGCCTTTTGGGGCCCCCCCCCACCGGGCCTCGGGGGCGTCCCCCCCGCCGGGCCTCGGGAGCGTCAAGCATCGCCTCAGGATGAGACGCCGGTCCCCGGGAAGTGGGTCCAGACCTCTGGGGGTCGAGGTCATGACAAATTCTTGGCCTCGGGGTTCTGGAGTGCGAGCCTACTGCCAGCACACCCTGACGGTGGGCACAGTCTGAGGGGCTCTCTAGCTGTCCCGCGGACTTCCTTCTCCTCGCCCCTCGCCCGCGTGCGCCCCATGTGCCTCCATTCGCCACGGCTGCGCCCCGCCGCTTGCTTGACCGCTTGTTCGGACCCATCTCGCCGCAGACTCCAAGAAGGTGTTCTCCCCGTCCTTGTGCTAGGCTGTATCTATACATGACCCTTCCGTGTCCTAATGGAGGCATTGCTGCAGGGGGCGGGGGCCTGCATGGGGGCCCTCTGCAGGTGATCTCATCCCTTGCGGCCTCCTCATGCCTGGCCCTCTCATAGACAGACTCTACTTCAGAAGCCTATGTCTCCTGACATAGGTTGGGTTCGAGGGGTGACGGAAATTACACGCTGGTCTCTTTGCAATGTCAGTCCCGCTTCGCCACTTGCTACATCAGCATGGTTTCCGTGTGCTCTGGTCAATGGAAACTGTTTTTCCCCAGGCACGCGGCTTTGCTGGCTTTGCATCAAGCGCTGCTTTGCTTTGCTTGGTCCAAGTTGCAACCGAAATTGTCCTGCTGGGCCAACCTTTCGCCCATATGAGCGCCTTCACTCGATAAGAAGACCAGCTCGGCTCAGGCATAACAATCGTAACTCGAATCATTCAAGTGAGCTTCCGAACGTGACAGTGGCTTCGGAATAGCTTAGTTGCAGCCAGCTTCTCGACATGTCGGCATCCGCGGTAGTAGATCCCTCCATCGCACGACGTCTTATCCATAACCGTCGCCCCGCATCGGCGGATGCGGGGAGATGAATGAGCACCAGTTGGACATTGGCTGTCGCCTCACGGCGCCTTCCTGTTTGATCGGTTGTCGATGCTCCGTTTCCCAGTGGCTCTGCATGCAATCTGTGCTGTCCTGTCGGCGGTCCTCGTTAGCGGGAAGTGGCCGCCCGAGCACCCGATGTACCCACGCGCCCTGGGTGTGCCCGGTGAGCACTCGCTGCCAGGAAGACCTCGCAGAGCCGCGGCGGAGGGGCCAGCATCTGCCCTGGCCGGACCCCTGCTCAGAACGCAGCCTTCGGGATGCACACTCAGCACCGTCGAACATCTGTCTAAAATCCTTCACAGATCCGCTGAGTTCCGTGGAATCCCTGTGTGGATCCGGCTCGATTGGGCTTGCTCCTGGGGCTGAGACCCGGCCTGCGTCGGCCCGAGGGCCCTCGCGTCGGGCCGAAGACAGTCCGCAGTCGCTCTCGCGAAGAGGCCTCCCAGGAGTTGCTTTTTGACCCTGCGCAACTAGCCGCGGCGCCCGGGGAGCTCAGGCCGCAGGAGCCCCCGGACCCGGGCTGCATCACGACCGTGATGGTCCGGAACTTGCCGGAGGACCTGCCTCAGCAGGAGCGCTGCCGCCGGGGATCTCGACTACACGTGGCTCATCTCTCATTCTTCGAAAGTTCTTTGATCTTTTTGGGGGCCAAGATCCTTTCATTTCTAATTGTTCTATCCTGGGCCTCTTCCTGGCCACTGGGAGTCCAGGAACAATTAGAAACGATCACAATTAGAAATGAGCACGATTAGAAATGAACGACGTGTACACGTAACCCAGACCCCCTCGAGTCATGGCAAGATCACGACGGGAGGTTTTTCGCTAGTTCCGGCCTCTGGGGGCCCCTGCCGTGCCTCGGGAGCGTCAACAAAACGACTCGGGATGGAAAGCCAGTCCCTGGGAATGGGTCCAGACCTCGGGGTCGACGTCATGACAAAACCATGTCCTCGGGGGTCTGGAGGAGGAGGAGGAGGAGGAGGAGGAGGAGGAGGAGGAGGAGGAGGAGGAGGAGGAGGAGGAGGAGGAGGAGGAGGAGGAGGAGGAGGAGGGGGAGAGCACCAGCACCCCTAAAGAGTGGCCCTCCGCCAGAGCGGCCCTTCGCCTCTACGCGCAAGCGCGGCCTCTGCGCCGACCGCCGGCCCCTCCGCGGCTCCCCGCAGAGGCCGCGCACCGGAGGCCCCCCTCGCCTGGGGTCGCCGCCTGCGCGTGCCTCCCGGGGGGGCTGCCCTCTGCGCGTTGCCGCGCGCCTCCCCCTCGCGCCGCCGCCCCCCCGCTGCCGCCCGTGTCCCCCGCCGCCTCCTCGGCCTTGGCAGGCACCGCGCGCGGAGGTGTGCCCCGGGCCTCTCGCGCCTGCCCGCCTGCGACCGGCGTGGGCCTCGAAACGGCGACCCCTCATAGCTGCTCGAAGAAATAGAAGAAGAAGAAATATAAGAATAATAAGAAGAATACTAATAAGAATAATAAGAATAATAATAATAGTAATAATAAGAATAATAATAATAATAAGAAGAAGAAGAAGAATAATAAGAATAATAATAAGAAGAATAATAATAAGAATAACAATAATAAGAAGACTAATAATAATAAGAAGAAGAATAAGAATAATCATAATAATAATCATAATAATAAGACGAAGAAGAAGAATAAGAAGAATAATAAGAAAAATAATAATAAGACGAATAAGAATAATAAGAAGAATAATAATAATATGAAGATGAAGAATAATAAGAAGCATAATCGCCATGAACATGAACTGTCGGCGCTCCGCGCGGTTTTCACGGATCCGCGCTGCGCCCCCCGGCGGCGCCTCCGGCGCAGGGAGGGGGGCCCAGCGCAGAGCCAAGAAATCCGCGCGGAACGCCAACAGTTGATGCTTATGGCGTTCTTTTCGTCTTCTACATACATGCACGCATGCGTACATCTATCTAATGCCGACCAGACGTAAGAGTGACCTTTCGCTGGAGTGACCTTTGGGGCGGGCCCAATGGGGTCCCTCGATCGCTGAACGCGACGCGGTAGCAGCGGCTTGCGCGCCCAGGTTTGGCCACCCCGCATGCCACCTTGAACCGCGCACCAAAGGTCACTCTTGCCCAGGGTTCCTCTCGCGTGTGGCCGAAACATGCATGCGTACAAATATCTAATGGCCTTCGGCCCATCCTGCCACCGTGCCTGGGCTGTGGGTCAGAGTTCTCAGGGATGCTTCTTCGGGTCTCTTCGGAGCGCTCTCGGGGGCGTCTTGGGAGCCTCTTGGGGTCCTCTTGTGGGTCTCTTGGGGGTCTCTTGGGGCCTCTTGGGGGCCTCTTCCCATCCGAGCCCCCTCTTGGGGCCGTCTTGGGTCTCTCTTGGGCCGTCTTGGGCGCCTCTTGGGCAGACTTGGGGCCCTCCTGAGCCGTCTTGGGGGCCCTCTTGGGGGCCCCATGGGGCCGTCTAGGTTGGTCGCCATGGAGATGAAGGCAGCGAAGAAGCCATCCGAGCAGATGAGAGCCAGCGAGCTCTTCCTTCAGCAGCACGCCACTCTTGGGGGCGGTCAAGCTCCTCTTCTCGATGATGGTCACGCTGGAGCGCTTGGCGACGCGCCCCCCGATAAAGCTCGGGTTCTGGGACGTCCGTCTTGCGCGCCTGTGCCGCGGTGCGCAGAGGAGAGCCTGTCCGTACGGCTGTCCGGTGAAGAAGGAGATGGTTGTGCCCGTCTGCCTGCGGTCCGTGTACGGCGCCCAAGATGCAGCGTCGATGTGGCGGGGCGACTTGACGCGCCAACTTGAGCGGGATGGGTGGCGCAAGGGCGTGGCAAACCCGACCTCGAGACGACGGTCGCGGCCTGGTTCATGGAGGCAGCACTGCGGTGCCAGGCGACGCGGTGACGCGGAAGGAGTTGGATTCGAAGTTGGTCGAGCGTTTCGACATCCAGCGCACTGGCATCCTGCCTGGGCCCTGAGGATTAAGGCTCCAATTAAGGTGGCGGTCTTCCTCAACCGGGTGCTACGCTTCGTGCCGGGCTCCACCCCTGCGTTGGGGAATCAGTCGGACCAGCGGTACGTGAATGTGTTAATCCGTGAGCTCGGATTGATTGGAGAAGGACTCCAACGGCTTCGACGTGCCGGCGATCAAGAAGACGGATGCCGACATCGACCGTGAGGCCAAGCTCCCGACGTTGCCGCTGGATGATGTTCGTCTGTGCAGGAGCGTCGTGAGGCTGCGTACCTGACCCTGGAACGCCCCGGCATCGTGGATACGGTCAAGCAGTGCTCGAGACGACTGTAGACGCCGACCTCAGTCGGTATGGCGATAATGAAGCGGCTCGGAAGGTATCTCGTCAAATGCCCATGTCTGGTCGCGAGGTTCAACAAGCAGACGAGGCCCGAGGCGGTCGCGGCCATCTGTGACTCCAACTGCGCAGGATGCCTGTTTTCGCGGAAGTTCACCAGCGGAATGGTGCAGACATTTGGCGGCCATACGGAGGATGCGGAGGAGAAGCAGGACGATGCGGAGGAGGATGCGGAGGAGGAGGAGGATGAGGAAGAGGAGGAGGAGGAGGAGGAGGAGGAGGAGGAGGAGGAGGAGGAGGTGTAGGAGGAGGAGGAGAGAAGGAGGAGGCGGTGCTGGCGGAGGACGGAGGAGGACGAGGAGGAGGAGGAGGAGGGAGGAGGGAGGAGGAGGAGGGAGGAGGAGGAGGAGGAGGAGGAGGAGGAGGAGGAGGAGGAGGAGGAGGAGGAGGAGGAGGAGGAGGGTGAGGAGGAATGACGAGTGACTCGTGCGAAGCTGAGGCGGGCTCGGGGCGCTGCGGGTTGAGAGCGAGGACCCTGAACACACAGGAGGGTCGGGAAGAAGCGGGGAGGTGGACGGAGGGAGCCTGAGGAGGAGGAGGAGGAGGAGGAGGAGGAGGAGGAGGGAGGAGGAGGAAGAGGGAGGAGGCATCTACCTGCCCCAGGGATCCCAGTTCAAGTTCGCGCGCTCGGGGTGGTCGCGCGTAGCCCCATCATGGGTGCGTGCAAGCTACGCTGTGCGTGCGAGCGGGGGAAGACTTGCAGAGGGCAATCTGGTGGGTTCGCGCGCGCTGTGTTTGTGCATTCGTGCTGTGTCCCAGGCCCCTCCCCTCCATCCTCCCTCCCCGCCCTCCCTGCGAGCGCCTGAAAGAGCGACCCGTTGGGCTGTTTCAGGGCCTCTCTCCTTGCGACAGCGGCGGGAGCAGCGGCGAGGGAGCGGCGGCAGCGGCGGCAGGAGACGCTACCATTACGACCCCCCGCCTCCCCCGGTCGACCGCGTTCCAAGATATCACGGCGGAGCTCCGGGAGTTTTTGGTCCCTCCACTCGGGCCCGCCAGCATCTCGCGCCCTTCGGGCCCAGCATGCGCTCCATGTGCCGGGCGCGCGGCCTCGGAAGGCAGGCGGCCCGCAGGCAGTGGGCAAGGTCCTCTCCCTTCCTCCTGCCCCTCCCTCGCCTCCTGTTCCTCCCCACTGCTTCGCGTTCCCTTCCCGACCTCTCCCCTCTTCCCTCCCTCCAGTCGCCCCTTCCCCCCTGCCATCCTACCCCTCACTCTTGTCGCGCGGATCTGGCACTGTGACAGGACTTCATGTCGGAGCTCGCCTCGACCTTCGGGGGTACGTACAACTTCGCTTACTTGCCAAGAGATTTTTCATCGAATGAATGCAAAGGCCCGCTGCCCTCGCCGAGCTGGGAGCCTGTCTCTTTCACGCCGCCTTGTGTGCATCGTTGGCTGCCGCAGAGATCTAGTGACGCTGCCGTCTCTGCCCCACGGTGCCTATCCTTGCGCCTGCCTGCTCGGTGAGTGCACTCTGCATGGCTGCTCTCTGCACTTCCCGAAAGACGTGGACCTTGCGGCCTCGGTGTCGTGCTCGTGATGGCCGTCGTCGTCGTCGTCGTCGTCGTCGTCGTCGTCGTCGTCGTCGTCGTCCTCGTCGTCCTCGTCCTCGTCCTCGTCCTCGTCCTCGTCCTCGGGGGGGGGGCGGGCCCGCGCCGGAAGGGCTCAGCGTGAGGCTTTTGGGCCCCCTCTTGGGGGCGCCCTCCGGGGGGCTGCCGCGCGCCCCGGGCCGGAGGGGGGGGGGGGGCCTCGCGGAGGGGCCGCGCGGCCACCCCGCGTCCGAGGGCGCGCGGGGGGGGGGGGTCGCCCCCTGCGCGGCAGGGCGGCCGGCCGAGCGTTCGCCCCGCTCGGAGTTCGCGCGCGCTCGGCGCAGCCTCCGAGGCCTCGCGAGGGCTTCAGCTTCGGGTCGGCAACACCCCAACATACTTATACTATATGTGCGTCGCCCCCCCAGGGGCGACGCGCGCACCGAGAAATCTTATAGTGTATGCGTCGTGGCGGGCGCTCTCTGGCCACACCGCTCGGGAAACGATATACTACAAGATGGGTATACTATATGTTCGGGTCGGACGCGCGCCTCCAAGGAGGACATATAGTATTAGTATGTCCATGTGCGTCCCATCAGGGTCGTGCGTCGGGCATGTCTCTCCCTACACAGGAGGGAGCTTCAGGAGCAGTGCAGAGCATCGTCGGCTGACGATGTCTCGTGCCTGTTTTGTTTTTCTGTTTTGTGGATCTCTTCTGGAGTGCTGTATTTCTTCACTCTTTTTTTGGGTTCTCCCCAAACCCGCCTGTGGGAGGACGTGCCCGAGCTGAGCTCGGGGCAGACGCCCGAGCTCCGCGAGCCCGATCCCGGTCCTCCCCCCTTCGGGTTTGCGCTGCTCTGCTGCCGATGCGACGCTGGCGCTTCGCCGCTCGGAGGTCGCGCACGGCGCAGTCTCGAGGCCTCGCGAGGGCTTGCGCCCGTCAGAAGTCTCAGGGGACGAGCATCGAGTCTCATGGGGGCCAGGTTTCGTTCGAAGAAAACCAGGGAACAATCTGGACTGGAACCGGGGCGGTTTCCTTGGAGCGCCTCTTCTTCGTAGAGTTCTCGCACACCTGGCAAGGCTCGCGTCAAAGGTCGCGGCCGCGGGGGTCGGGCGAGAGATTGTGGTGACTGGCCGATGGAATTTCTTTCAGGGTGCGTACAATGAGCGCATGAGGCTCATAGAGACCGACGGAATCCATGGTGGACTACTGTCTTAGAAACGCCTGGCGTGAAGTCAGTTTTCTTAGCCTAAAACTTTCTTAACCTACCAAGCAGGGGTGTAGGGCAGACGCACGGACTCCACGATCCCGATCCTCCTCCTCCTCAGGCCTTCGTTGCTCTGCTGCTGACGTGACGCTGGATCTGCGCGTCATGTCCTACCCCGGCGCTGCGAAAGTTCGACCAGTTTAGTGCTTCCACCAAGACAGGTCTGAGGCGGGAGCAACATTGCGATTTCGGGCTGAAGAAGAGTGCCGACCTCTATTTTCGAGGAAGTCCTGGGCGGGAGCGCCATTTCGAAATCGAACCCGCAAGGCTCCGAATTCCGTTTCGGAGGCAGTTCTGGATGGGAGCGCCATTTCGAATTGGAGACATAAAGGTTTCGAATTCTAGTTGGAGGAAGTCTTGGGCGGAAGCGCTCTTAATTCGAGCCCGAAAGTTTCGAAATCCAATCGAGACCATTTTCTGAGGAGGTCTGAAGCGAAACGGTCGTTTCGCAATGGCCACACCGTTTGGCCCTCCAAATCTTAAATTTCGGACCACAGATTTTGAACGTATGGTTGTCGCTTGAGACTTCCTCCAGACAGCGATCTCGATAGGATTTCGAAACCATCTGGTTCGAATTCGAAAGGGCGGTTCCGCCAGAGATTTGTGCAAGACAATGCTTGAACAGAACATTGCACTGGGGCCCCGCGGCCTCAACAGGCCCCTTAGACGTCGCTTCTCTTGTCGCGAGCGCAGCGCCACTGAACGATGTACCGATGCCCCGTCGGCTAACGGAGTGCGCTGCATTTTGGCTGAACGTTGGTAGCGGTGAAGTGGAATTTCGAACCGCTCAGGGCTGCCTTGCGCATTGCGCTTCGCACGTGTCACTCGAAAGTGATGCTCTCGCCTCCCACTCTTCGGGCACTGCGAACCGGTCTGTGTGGACGAAGCGACGACGCCGACGCGCCTCAACGTGCGCGACGACGACGGCGATACACCGGTCGCCGAGCGAGTGCGCCACTTTCCAGATCGACTAGATGCAGGGCAAATGAGTTGTTTGGAATTCCACATCTCAAACCCCTTATGGTTGCGCTGCCCACTGCGCTGTGCACGCGTCGATCGGAAGTGGCTCGCTCGCCTCCCACTCTTCGGGCAATGCGAATCTATCTGCATGAACGATGCGACGACGCCGACGCGCCTCGAAGTGCGCGACGACGACGGCGATGCATCGGTCGGCGAGCGAGTGCGCCACTTTCCAGACCGACCAAATGCAAGCCAGCTATGAGCGGTTTAAAACTCCACACTCGATTTTCTTTGCCGCACCCCCAGTCTTGGATTTGCGAGCGCGACCCGACCCGCTGCTTTTCCGCCGCTCGCTCGCCCCCTGCCCGTTTTGCTGCGGCCTCCTTGTGGGTCATGGGCCGACCCTGCTCGTCTCTACGACCGCCCCCCCTCCCCCCCCCCCGGCAGCTTCTGTGCAGGGTATGCTTTTGTGAACTTCGTGGACCCGGCGGATGCCTCCCGCTTCCGCACCGCCTGGCACGAGGACGCTTTCTGATTTGTCGTTTGCTCGGAGTGCCGGCGTCGTTGGGCATGCCGCGGCCGCGGTAGAGGCGCAAAGGAGGGTGCGCGATGTGCCGCACGGCACATGCGGGGCAGGGCGACAGCGCGGGGTTCGTGTGGCGCGGAGAGCCCCTGAGCTGGACCACGAGATCATCCCAAGCATTCAGCGTCTGAGCAAATCAAAACGGAGGCGTCTCGCAGGTTTTCTGATTCCAAGGGCCTTTGCCAGCCTTGGGACCATCAGAAAAAGATACGGGACGACAAGCTGGCTCCAGGGAAAGGGGCCAGGGCTTCGGGGACACCTTCGTGAAACTATCAAGGCACAGGACGTCTGGGTTTGTAGGCAGTGGCGCGCAGCAGCTCGGATGAAATGTTACCGCCCGTTTCGAGCAGATTTCCGCCCTGATCAGGACGCACTTCCTGACAGGTTTAATTCCGAATCTGCGCCTGTATATTCGTGGTCGCAATCCGATCTCATCTGGCACAGTATCTTTTTCATTCCGCCCGATCCCTTCTTATCCGGCTCAATCCGGCTTCATCCTGGGCTTCGTGTGGGCCGATCCAGTTTTCTTGGCCCCTCCATGAGCCGAATCGGTGCTTTGATCTCTCCGGCGAAGGCCTGCCAGGGATTGGCGCCTGGCCTTGGAGCGGGGTCGCTGTGGGGTCGGCGCGCGCGCGGAGCGGCTACTGCAGTCCTTCGAGTGCTCGGCACCAGCGCTGGTGGAGCCCATGGGGCACCCAGAGGTGCCCTGGAGCGTCCCAGACGTCTTCTGGAGGCCTCTTGGGCCGTCTGGTGGCGCTCTTGGCCCGTCTCGGGGGCCTCTCGGAACGTCTTGGGGGCCTCTTGGGACCCTCTTTTGGCCCGTCTTGGGGCCGTCTTGCCTCAGGAAAGGTCACGCGACGAGCCCCGACCGTCACAGGGGGAGCCCCAGACGGCCCGCGGGCCGCTCCGAGCTGGTCATCCGTAAGTTAGTCATCCAGGCCGAATTAGTATGAACACTATTCTAGATGCTTCGCGCAACCCCACCAGCCCATCCAGAAATGATTCCCAGGCGAGTTGCCCTGATCAGTCATGTGGGGGAGCACGCGGTGGAATAAAGGCTGTGAAGCCATCATACCCCAAGAAGGGGATGATAGAGGAATAACTAGATGAGGAGGAGGAAGAAGAAGAGGAGGAATAGAAGAGAATGAGGAGGAGGGCGAATAGGAAGGCCAGGGGTCTCTTGGGTGCTTCCCGAAGTCTCTTCGGATATCAGTCGAGAGCTTCTAATAGACCTGCTGGGGGGTCTGGAAGCCTTTTGAAACGTCTTGGGTGCATCGGGGGAGCCTCTTGGGGCCTCTTGGGGGTCTCTTGGGAGTCTCTGGGGGGTATATTGGGGGCATCTTGGGGGCCTCTTGTGGCCTCCTGGGCGCGTCTTGGGGCAATCTTGGTGCACTCTCGGGAGCCTCGGGCGCCATTTTGGAGGTGACCGATCAAAGATGGGGTTATTTAGTTAGGGTCCCATCCCAGGATGCCAACATTGGCCCAAAACTGTAAACCATCAGTGAGTTTGGCCTTCTCCTAGGGGCCATTTTGGACGCTCTGACACCTCGCGGAGCGCCCCGTCCAGGTCCTGGGGGAAGGGGGTAGGGGGATGGGTCAAGCTACCCACCCGCCCGCAAGCCGTCTAGCTCACTCCCACCCGCCCTCCCAACATATAAGTTACACCCGAGCCTGAGCATGTTCAGCGGTCGTCTTTGGATGGGCAGCTACTGGGAACCAAGGCCGACCCCAGGTGCGTGACACTTGGGCGAGGTGCGCCACGCGTGCCAGGGGCGCCACGCGCGCCAGGCACGGCTGGTGCGCCAGATGCGCCACGTGCTCCGAGTGCGCCAGGCGTGCCGCGCACTCCAGCCGCGCCAGGTGCGCCACGTTAGGGGCACGTGCAGAGTGCGTCAGGTGCGACTGCGCACGTGACAGCACACATCGGGAACCATGTCGGCCCCAGCCATTCTTGCCGAAAACCAATGCCCGTCATTGTGTCTGGCGGGCCTGCGCACAGCAGGCCACGCGACACCACCCTCGCTGCCCCTTTCAAATTCACTTGACAGTGATCGCGGGATGGCCGCGCATGAGCCAGATTTAGCCGCGAGGTGCAGGTTGTAGTGTTTTTGTCAGGGATGGTAGCCCTCCGCGCAGCAGGGAATATGCTGACACCTCCGCCGTCCCTGTCAAAAGCAATACAAAGTGCTCGCGGGCCTCACAGACATGACTGAAGACTTTGTTCCAAAGTGTACTTTGCATTGTTTTTTGATAGGGATGGGGGGGCGCATCGGGTTGTCCGCGCATGCTCCAAATGTGGAGGCATATTGCGATTTGTTTTTGTTTTTGACAGGGATGGTGGGGGGCGGGCCCGCATGTAGTCGGCATGGTTCCGGGTTGGCCGCCAGCTGGTTGGGGGATGGGGTCTATTTTAATAAGGAACAGCAATCACCCCCCCCGAAGGGGACGATTGGGGTTGGAAGAGAAAACTCTTACACCACTCACGCCCTAAAGGGATAGTGGGATGCAATGTTGCGGTTTGCGGGCCCTTGATGGCTTGAGAACATTCCATTTCCTGCCTCGAGGCACGGTGACGGATACGCGGAGTCGTGGTGACGATCGTGCAGTCGAGGGAGAGGTGAAATTGGTCAAGGGTAACCCTCATCGACACATTGAAGCGCCCAGGTTATCAATCTTTGCCTCTCTGGTGCTCGCGACAATCGCCCTTTAAGGGTGAACCGTTGCGGTTCGGGATAAGCTCCCCGTTGTTTCCTCGCAGTTGGCGTGTAGCAGACGGGTGCGGGCGTCGGCGCGCCAGCTTGGCACGTGTACTTATGACAGGAATGCAGGCAAAACACAACTCCCAGACGCGTCGCTTTGGTCTTGAGCTCAGCGAGCGATCGCGCGACGAATCGGGGCTGGGTGAAGCGGGTTCGCTAGCTCTCTTCCAAGATGTCAACATGATCGCCTGCTCTCGCGACAGGCTTGGCTTTTTTTTGCCGCACCGTGGCCGTGGAACTTCACACCGCTTCTCGGCTCCATGCTTGTTGCACTCTATCATGGGCAATGCTGTCGGAGAGAAGAGAAGCGACACCAACACCACCAGGGGGCCCACCTCAAGCGAAGAGTTCCACGATGCCTCCCCGAGCTGGAGGCTGAGGATATCTCGAGCGAGAGGGGGGGACCACACCACCTGGGAGACTCCCCTTCCTCCTCGTATCTCCTCGCCCTGGTGGTGTTTGTGTCGCCTTCACATGTCGCTATGCTGTGCGCTCTTGGATCTTCCAGCTTCGCTCGCTCATGCCGCTGTTGGGGCTCGTCGGGGTTGCGGGGTGCACTGTCTGGGGGACGCGATGCCATGGAATGCGCTTGGGGCCTCCCCACGTGTTCGCTTTCACGAGTCACGTGTCGGGAGGAGGAGGAGGAGGAGGAGGAGGAGGAGGAGGAGGAGGAGGAGGAGGAGGAGGAGGAGGAGGAGGAGGAGGAGGAGGAGGAGGCGGAGGAGGAGGGGGGAGGAGGAGGAGGAGGAGGAGGAGGAGGGGGAGGAGGAGGAGGAGGAGGAGTTCCAGCGCGTATCGCACAGCACAGCGCAAACCCAGCGCGCTGCGCAGAGGACGCAGCAGTTCTGTTGCCATGGAGGCGCGTCCGCAAGAACCTTCTCTACTTTCCGTCTTCTCCAGACTGGCTTCTCCATGAGTGCGGGTTCGCGTCCCTTGGAGGGCCATGCGTCTCTCTGAGGGCCATGGGAGTGCGCTGGTCGCGCTGTGGTCTGCCCCTGGACCTGCCAGCTAGTTTCGACGGAGAGCTACCGCCGCTGATTCTAGGTTCGGGAGTGAAAGGCCAGACGTGTCCCAACTTCTCTCACTTACTGCTCCGTCCCCTTCCCATCATGCACTGGTCGGAAAACGACGGAACCGACGTAACGCATCTCTCCTTGCGATGTGCTTAATCAGGCCCATCGTGCGCTTCGGCTGCAGACCATTTCTTTACACTCACGGTCTCCGTGATCCAGATGCCCGCGCGCCCAAGCGTGAGCACGGTTGTGCCCTGCTTCCTTGATCCGTCTCGGGGCATTTGGTTGCCACGAGGGTCCCTCCCAGGCTTGTCACGCTGGTGGCCTGGCCGCGCCGCCTGGCTCGGGCTCACCGCCTTCTTCGGCCACGCGCAGAAGTGACCCTTCCTTTGCCCGCGTGGCTCTCGCTGCGCGGGTCTCGGGGGCCGACGGCGGGGAGAGCCCAGGCACGCAGGGGGCCACTGCCGCGTCGCGTGCAGTGATCGGCAAGCCGCGCACCACGGGCCACTCTGGCCCAGGACGGTTCCTTCCCTGCGTGCAGCCGACCTGCCGCTTCCCGCGGGCGTCGATCCTGCGAGCGACGTGCGTCAACAAGCACCTGGCGGTTGCGCCGCCACACCTCTGGCCAAGGGCGGCCTCGAGGGCGCGAGGTTCTTCGCGCTTCGCGGCTTGGCTCCGGCGCCTCGTCCTCCTCGTCCCCCCGGGGGGGGTGGCGCGAGCGCGCGAAGCGATCCGCGCGCTCGCGCAGCACGGAGCGCGCAGCGTGAAGTTGGGAGCCCTTGCTTGGCCGCGTGCGTCTCCGGGGCGATGCCTCAGGCGTGCCGCACAAGTCGGGCGAAGAGAACTATGCACATGCACCGATCCTGGCGAGGCCCATCCTTGACCCAGGAACGGTGCATATGCCTTCCTGGCCAAGGTAGGAGGGCGTATGCACCGATCCTGGGCTCAGGATGGGCTTGGCCAGAATCGGTGTATGTGCATAGTTCTTGTTCCTCTAACAAGGCCGGGGGATGGCGGCCTGCAGGGAGGGCGCGGGCCTGCGACGCCACTCGTCCCGGCGTCGGCCTGTCGCTCGAGACCCCGTCGTGCTCTCATCGCCCGAGAGCCCTCCCCGTGCGGGCACGCCCTTCGATCTGTTTCTTTCTGGGCCTCCTACAAGCCTCGTCAAAAATGAACAGGA